AGAAGGAGAAAGAGATAGAAACATCAATGATGAGAGGGAATCATTGAGCTGTTGCCGCCTGCACACCCCATATGCCCACACTGGGAATTGTGCCTTGACTGGGAATCAAACTGTGACCTCCTGGTTCATAGGTCGACACTCAACCCCTGAGGCACACCAGCCAGGAGGATTTTCATTATGTTTAACTATATTTTCTATTGGTGTTTGGGAATCTGAGCATGTGGGTAAGTTAAGAATTCCACCAGACTTACCAATTTCCCTGTAGCGCCTAAAGTCCCCGTTCTAGCTAGTGGACTAGTGGGCCACAGTGGCACTTGGGAGCTAGCAGCTTAGAGCCAGCACCTTAGAGCCAGCACCCAATAACCCCCGGAAGGTTTGGGTACTTCTCCTCCCCGAGTACACGTGCCCTAGCAAGCGGCCCGCACTCACTCTAACGCTGCCGCCTCTGTCGGCCGCGGCTGCTCCTGACTTGCTCAAGAGCCCTGAAATTTTCAGTGGTTCCTGCAACTGGATTCACCGGGAGTGACTTAAAACACACACCAATATTCTGGTCACATCACACAGAGAGTCACCTTGCAAGGAAACACCAATGATTCGATCCCCACGACACTTCATTGTCTCCAAATCTATCATCAGAGTCAAATCTCCTCATAGCCCAGGGGGCCAATTGTCAAGTCAACACACACAGCAGGTCTGAGCCGAAGAGAGGATGAGTGGGAAAGTCAGCTGAAGGGACCGGACAAGAGCGGACTGCTGGCCTGCGGAGCCCTTCTGTTGGAAGGAGCAGCCGGGCTGCTGGAGGACGTGCTCTATGGACTGGGGGACATCCAACCTTAGCTGTTCCCAAGCTCCTCCCTGCCCTCCCCCAGCACACGCACCTCAGGAGAGGTAGCCAGGGAACGCCCGAGAAATGCACCTGCGAGGGTATCATCATCAGCAGCCATTCGCAACCCTGGCTCCCCCTTAGAATCACGTGGGGGAGCTTTAACAACTCTCATGATGACTGAGGCTCACTTCCGGAGATGCTGATGCCGTTGGTAGGGACTGGGCGAAGGGGCAGGACCGGCATACTGGTTGTATTTTTTAATCACTGGTAGGGATTCCAGCTGCAGAAATCACTGGACTAGGAGCCTAGAGAAGGCAGTAGTTCGCAACCTTAGCTGCACATTGAAAACACCTGGGAGCCCTAGCCGGTTTGGCTCAATAAATAGTGTCGGCCTGCAGACTGAAGGGTATGTACTTCAGTTGCAGACTCCTCCCCGCCCGGGTCCTGGTTGGGGCTCATGTTTCTTTCACATCGATGTTTCTTTCTGTCTTTCCCTATCTCTTCCACTCTCCCTAAAATTCAATGGGAAAACATCCTCGAATGAGGAATAATAATAATAATAATAATAATAATAATAATAATATAATATAATATAATAAAACACATACCTGCGAGGCTTTAAAGAAAATGCCAATGGCCCTAGCTGGTTTGGCTCAGTGGATAGCGTGTCTGCCTGCGGACTGAAGGGTCCCAGGTTCGATTCTGGTCAGTTGTGGGCTCAATCCCCCAATAGGGGACGTGCAGGAGGCAGCCAGTCAATGATTCTCTCTCATCACTGATGTTTCTATCTTTCCCTCTCTGAAATCAATAAAAATATATTTTTAAAAAGAAAATACCGATGAAACACCAACCTAAAGATTCTGACTTAATTATTTAATTGATGTGCCTGAGTATTGGAATTTTCCTAGGTGATCTTAATGTGCAGAACCAGTAGGATGAGATTGAAAACTAGTAGGATAAGAGAACGAATGAGTGATGAGGCCCATTAGGGTAAGAGAATGAATAAAAGCTAAAATGGGAAAATGAATGAAGGCATGACTGCATCTGTAGTTCTGTACTTCCGACTTAAGAGCCACCCTGTGAGTGAGTGAGTGAGTGTGTGTGTGTGTGTGTGTGTGAGAGAGAGAGAGAGAGAGAGAGAGAGAGAGAGAGAGAAAGAGGTTGCAGGGGTGGGGATTACCCACACCATTTCAGCACTGTGATACTGAGGCCCACAGAACAGGAGCAAGGGCTTCATGTGTTTTGGAGGGTCCCCTCTGTCCCAGACAGTGGCCTAAAAGCTTTAAATGTACTTCCTTGTTGAGTCCTCCCAATAGCCCTGGGAGGACAGATATTGTTAGACACGTTTTTACAGAATTGGAGTCGAGACTCCCAGAGGTTAAATGACTTGCCTGCAGTCACGTAGTGAGTCAGTGGCAGAAACTAGATGAGACCCAGGTGTCCTAAAGCCAACGCCTTTCCTGACTGCATTGAAATGACTGGCCCCATCTGCCTGGAAGATGTCTTGGCCTGACCACCATTCATCCCCAGAGCCTGCCTGGCGTCTAATTGAAGCTTAGCTGATAGTCATCTCCTGGGGTGTGGGCAGTGCTGTCCAGGCCCAGGGCTTCGGGAGTGAGAACGACCACAGAGGGAAAGGTCCCCATGACCCAATCATGGAGGCCTTGGTCCCAAAGAGCTGGCTGGGACATAGCTCTGAAGCAGAGGAACACTGGCTGGACACGGGCCAAAGCATCATGTCTGCTGGACAAAGGGAGCCAACATGGGAGCCCAGAGGTCAGACTGGAGATGGGGCAGGAGATGGGGTAGCCCAGGCATATTAGAGTCCCGGCCACCTTTTCTTAGGAAGGAAGGCCTGACCTTCATTCTGAGATTATAACCTTCCCACATTGTGTTAACAGGAAGTGGGATCAAATCATTTTAATAAGAGCAATTTATTTAAACAGGGTTGAGTCCTCAGAAATTCCTCCCCTAGGTATGTACCCAACAGACATGTCCTAGAATGTTCATAGCATCACTAATTGGCACAGCCCCACTTTGGGAAGTGTCTGCACACCCATTCTCAGTAGAGGGAGTGGAACTGTGTTCCCCCACCCCACCCTTGGCAAAAAGAAGAGATGACAACCTTTGCTAATCTCTCCATTTGGTTGGTTGGTTTTTTTATTGGTCCAAAAAAATCAGAAAATCTGAAAACCAACGGTTTCTCTGTGGGTTTGGGAATGGAGAGCAGCTTGGGGGGGGGGGGGGGGAGGCAGGTGATTTTCTGTAGATCCGTGTGGTTCCAGGACTGGTGGCAGCAGCGTCACCTGGGAGTTAGGGAACCAAACTCCTGGTCCCTGCTCCAAGCCGACAAAGCCAGGCCCTCTGGGAATGAGCCCAGCATCCTGACTTAACAAGCTCCCTGGGT